TATTTCTAAACGATCCGGTTCGAATCAACAGGATTACGATGAAGGACAAGCTAATCATTTGTTTAAGAAATATATATATTAACCGCAATAGAGAGTATATCAATGGATATTAGAGGGGACAAACACGTGGACCAGCCACGCGAAAACAAGACCTACGTACATCACCACATAAAGTAACAAATATCGAAAGGTATGGAAAAATCAATAATAATTTTCTACACATTTGACTACCGTACAATTTTACATCAGCTCAAGTGTTTTGCCTGTTACACCATATGAACTACTACTCAGTGTTGTAATACAATTATGGAATGGTCTGGGAAGTAAATTGAACAACTTCGATAGCCCTAAAAACGGGCCTGGCTGGAATACTAGGTACATCTAAAATATAAAAGATATGACAATCCGTTCTGGTGTCGCACGTATTCAAATATCCGAGTTATTATCTAAAAATGTCCTAAGCTCTATGGTAGAACAAAGAAGAAAACATTTGCAGCAGTATGAAACGATCGGGTAAAATAACCATTACTATCATGTTTATCTTGCACTATAGCTCTCTGGCCAAATATATGGATTATGATGACAAACGTGGCGCGGTATATTTAATACGCTACGTGTATCGGCCATTTTTGCTCTGTGTTGCATTACAAACATGAACTGACTGTATCAACGGTAAGCAAAGAGACATGTCTGTAGACACGGAGCCGTAGACGCGTCATAGATAAATGAGACTGCAAGATCGTGCAGCTAATGTCACGTGTACGGGACGTCGTTTCGTCGGACAAAAAGTAATTACCAACCGTCTACTGAGCTACTATAGCAATCGGCTTTCACCGACACGACAGAAAACATGGAAATATTGCGAGTTGTATTGGTATGCAATGCAAATAGCACTATTTTCGTCCTATGCTGCTTAGATCGCTTGAGATAAGAGTTGACACGCATACATATATCAATCAATCTTCAGGATATGCTTCCATGGCTAGAACCTGTAGGTGGACTTGGAGACCGTGATTCTACGGCCCACTTGTGCCAGCTACGGCCAACTTGGTGGGCTTCCAGTTGAGGAGTTCACTGATTATAAATAAAAAGTTGCTGTAGAAAAGTTTCAAAGGAAAATTTGGAAGCTGGCCTCTCAGTTCATTGTTCTACCTTCTCCGCAAGCCCTGAAAAACACAGGTTTCCAGGTTGAACGTCTGCGACAACGGCTGACTTGATTAAGCATTCAGTCCATAGAATTCAATCAAGTCTAACTGAGAGCGAAGGCGCAAATGTACATCATCTGTTGGCTTGTCTGACGTAAATCCTCACGCTTGACTCGCCAGGCAAACAGCCTTGCCGCCTCATCTGTTATTTGCTGTCCCCATTGTCTTCCTACCGCACAATCATTACTGCGAAGTACGACCTTCAATTTCCCTTACTTCGATAGCTGAAAACCTAATTAGTTTCTCGTCAAACAAGATTTCACAACAGATAGGCGGATACGAGACGAACGGCGGAACTAAAGGTAGTATTGCTAAGTCTAAAGCTAAACTTTTATCTTTTTGACTCTAATCATAAGCGATTTGCCGTTTCCAGATAGTATTAAAGAAAACATTCAGTGACAGCCTTCAACCTTTTAACCTTGATTCCCTTGATTGAATCTTCGAAAGAGTAAATTATGTTAAGGAAAACTGTATCACAGGATTAACATCATCGTCCGGCCTCATTCGAATAAGCATGCTGAATAGCATGCTACTAAAAAAAGAAGTATGCTTTTGAAAACGACCCCAATGAAGGAACAACGCGAATAGTAAACTGCGGTCTCGCTGTAACCCAGCAACGTCACAATGCCCCACGGGCCTTTCTCACATCCAGCAGAGCAACCAGACGGCCCGTATCTAGTGGCCGTATTAATCTAGAACGACAACCACTGGACAAATACATCTTGAAATCCATCTCACCAATCCCCGTCAAGCTGATCTCATCAAGACCCATGTTAAAGAAAGCATTAGTTCAGAGTGTTAGGACATGCCTACTCGTCATTCGCGCCTGAACGCAACTAAAATACTGTATAATAGAAGTGATACAAATTCATGCGTGTCTCAGTTTAACTGAATATCAACGAAAATTTCGTCAATAACAAAAGATCGTGGTCATTATTCAGACAGCTACGTCATTCTATGTACGACGATAAATCCCAAGGAAGTAGCATTCTAGAAACGATTGTTAAGGTGCTTGTCATAATTAGGCCTTTTAGTGGATAAATCTATTCGTAATGAGGGAATGGTAACTGATGCATGTTGTGGTTCTGTTCAAATAGAAGGAAAAAGGCAACAGGGAATTTTTGAGATGCCAAAAAGGACCTTTGACCTAAGGTATGATAGATTTTTTCAGGCAACGCGACACGGACCTGACGACTATCCGCACCTTATTCTCAGCCAAACATAGATAATGGCCTTTGATCTTCAAACGTATCTAACTAGCGTGATAACTGTAGTTGACATCAATTTGTTTCTCTTTCCAAAATTAGCGCACGCAACAGGTCACCGCTAGCTAGTAACAACGCGAACAGTTCTGAGTGATAAATAGCGTCTGGCTTGGCAACAAAGCGTTCAAGAAACACTATAAACCATAGGAGTAATACAAGGCTAAGCCAAATGACGCAAGGACTTCAACAGACGTCATCGCTGATGTCATTTTAATCAACGTTACGGTATTACCGCCTGCTCCTCGAAGCTCTGTCACAAGCGGGTTGCATCTCCTCCATGTATTTCCTGCTTTTATCCTCTAATTTGTACAATGCAATGCCAAGTTATACAGCCTAAACTGATCATGCGATTATTGTAGAAGCGGCTGTGTTGCGCCAAACTACGATGGCTTGAAGTTTTAAAATTCGCGCCACGGATATAACAGTTGCGTCGGCAAGACCAGCCCGTCGTACTTCCTGAGCTAAAAAGTCGTTCCATATGTACATAGAACGACCCATAAATTATGCTAGTGTCAAAAGGTACCAGTGTGATTTGCCTTGCACTTCAGTGTACTTTCGAAGCACAGCTGTCACCAAAATGTGTTTTTTATTTCAATGGCTGAGATGAACTTTGTCATGATTTGATTTTTTTCAATTTGATCTGACGATATTTTTTAACAGGATTAGCGACGACTAAACAATCTCCCTATGAACGAGTTACAATACGCGCATAGCTAACAAGATAAATAGCCGAAGCCATAAGATGTCAGCATTTATCCGGTCGTAAGAAAACCGTTAGTGATGCAACTTTGACAACGTAGTTTCTCTTTGCCATTGTTAGCATAGACGCACGAAAGATCCGTTATGGTCCCGACTAGAACAATATTCCAGTTATGGCTTATTCAAGTGTCCGTGCCGCTACTTCTACCGCTATTCTACATATATCGCATAAACAAATCACTCGAGTTTACGAAAAGCAGAAAGAAAAAAGCTACCGCTGTATCGCGGAGCAGTGGACGTCGTTCTCGAGGAGAAACAGACGCACATTGACAACTTCTTGTGTCTCATTTGTCTCTAGTCAGCCTAAATCAGCGCTACACAATTCACTCATACAATCTTGTGCTGGTAAGCGATATCTAATCGACACCCCTCATGCCAACCTCGAAACAGACGCCTTTGCTGCAGTCGTTAGGTCCGTCCATAGACAAACGGAGAAAGACTGTGAATTGCGGCCGCTAGAACTACGTCGACTCACGGACCGAGAGTGCCTGATCGACGCACCCGGCCTTAACGCCACAGCGGCTTTTGCTCTCTTTCTTTATCTATTCCTTTGGCTCGATTAGGTGATGAGAACTAAGCACCAATAGAATACTAGTGAATTCCAACAAAATTAGCCCGAACGTTTTCCACTTTAGCGGACAGCTATAGAACTGTAGACAAGTCGATGTAGTGGGCTCAGAGCGCCAAAAGCATCGATTCCATTAGTACTAAAGCCATGGGGTCATGTGACAGGTACGCAAGGACAACTTCCGAGTTGGTCCTCAGAGTAGTTTCGCTTATGAAGTCGTTAGGTTGTTTTAGTTACTAACATCGTAGTCAGAAAGCAGGCTTGTCTCCCAGGGGTTAAAAGCAATTGTCAAAAGCGGTATTGCCATGTACTTTGTCATCCCTGTAGTCTGTACGAACCGTATAGATCAGCGAACTCACGAAGAATGGCCCCATCGGTTAGTATCTGGCTGAACTGGATATATTTAATAATCGTATCCTTGTACATTGACATGGCCTAGTTTTTCGCATTTGCTGTACATGCGTGCCTGCGCCCCGTATAGAAGACTTCGCCTGCAGGAGGTAATAACAAAAGCTACCGGGGCCATTAGGGCGGGCGGCTTCTTGTTACAGCTCAGCGAGACGGACCCGCAGCATTAGAAAAATCGCTCTAGATTCTATTCGCGCTCACTATCAGCACAGGGCTGATTCAACGGTACGTTAGAGTCGGCTTACTACAACTTGTTCGGTGAGATAACCGCGGATTAGGAAACAGAGATTACTTGATAGAGTATATCATACACAGACCACCCCATTTCGTACCTGCCTATCTTGCTAAATAAAAGATGCAATGTTGAGGCACCATCGCTTGTAGGAATAAATCGAAGCTGGAAATATTGACCCTAGCTAAGGGAACACTACATAATAATCTTTGTAACCATAGCCAACTGTTTTGATAAACAGTAACCTGCTTCCAATACATTAGCCCTAACGATTACGGAAGGCTTGTGGTGCTGGAAATTACCAATGACAGGTCGTTGCACTAACGTCGCCGTAGTTCACATCAGCGTAAACGAAGTCATGAAGCAAAATCGCAATTGCTTTGACTGAACGATTTGGTTGCTATAGCTTTTTATCATTGCCGCGGTAAACAAGGCGTTTTCTCTAATCATACCTCAGTCAGGATAAGAGCATTGCCGTTTCACGTGTATTCCGTACGACATAATACATTACACGAAATAAACGGGGCAGACGAATCAGGGTCGAAGTTCTCAGTAGCACTTACCGGGCACGTATCTTTCCCGCATCTCGGCAGGAAATTTGCCATCTGGGGCCAACTTCTGAATGTACGTATCCGAGTTGTCATCGATGAGCGTGTGATCGAAGTCAACCGCGACGAGCACCTTGTTACTGAGCGGAATACCACCTTTCAATCGGATCCGGCGACCCCTGCGGGTCGATAACAACAAAAAAGAATAAAATGAGCAAAAAAAAATAAGTATTTATATGTATCATCGCTAGTGATTGATTCGTGTGTTTCCCTTACAGTAGGATCCGTTCTGATTTTGTTTTATACGATGTTGGCCGGTTAAATCCACCGCATTCTAACATCTGCAATATAGCGGCCAACGGCCGGCTTATCCTGCAAAGTCTCGGGAATAGAATGAACACATCAGTTTCACTGAAGGCAGAGGTCGGGGTATTAACTTCATTTCTGAGATACTGCAGAATAAGCCGGGGATCGGTCGATGACCACACGGGTCTCGTGCAGTGGGTCAACACATTGGTCAACGGCCGATTCGAAAAAACAAATACACTAACGATTGTATAGCACTCTCCGACTTAACAATGAACTCTCGCATATAAACTCAGTTAAGCTACAAGGCATCACGTAACGTACGTAACCGACTGATAAATCGCCAACATCTGTTCGTTTGTCAACGAATTTGACGACTGGTCATCCATGACCCGCTTTTCGACCTAAAAACGAACTACAAAAAGCTCCACTGACCCAATCCATTGGAACTAGCATAGGTCTATGGATTAGAAACATCTAACAATATTTGCATATGATCAGGGCACGCGGGAGGTATCGCAAACTGCCATTAAAAAATGTCTTTTAATTCGGATGAACTTTTATTGATCACATATTTAGGACGCACAGAAAAGCAAATCGTTATATTTTGCTGCTTCTTCGGTATTTATCATACCATTCTTATTATTAATCATTCCGAACCGATACGAGTGGTACGGGCCGGTTCGTGAGCCGATTCAACAAAAACATAATAACCCCCTCACCTCACCCCCGCCCCCCGATCAATTTGTACGACTAGTGTACGAGGTAATACGATTATTGACGTATTGCCAAGCTACCAGGCTGACGAATTTTGTGCCTCTATATTCATATACGTAATATTATTGTATGTATACGTATTCACACGTAGTGCGGGTACAGACAAAGTCTTATTATTAATTAGTACCGAAAATTCTGCGAGTCTATAATGGTCCGATGTTGGAAAATTATTAAATTTATTACTGTTATCGTAATTGCCGATGAAAGTGATGAGTAAATTATACTTTTGTTGCGAAACCTGTTTATATATATATAGTACCTGTTTATATATATATAGTACCTGTTTATATATATATACCTGTTTATATATAAAAATATCGAGGCGATAGCTCAACTATACAAAAACAAGTTCGCCTTTCTTTGTAGACTCGTCTGCTAGAGAGCCGTGTATCGGTTTTGGAAAGAACGGTCTTAGGCCATAGAGGCGGAATTTTTATCCAGATCAAATGTTACTGTCCAAATCGAAACGGTCATAATTAACCACCAAGCAACTGTATCATGCATCTGTGAATCCTAATAATCCTGAGGGCCAACGCTTTCGACCTAATGAACGACTGACCATATTATATATGCTATATGGCCTTGGGCCAGATCTTGTCAGATCAGTGGAATAGACACCGTCGCGATAAAGCAGGCTCAACTAAATTGACGCGCAAAGCACTCCTGCTTCCTGAACACGAACACCTCATTTTATGCACAAACGGTTTTGGCTAGGAAATAAACCGGTCTATTAAATATGCTGTCACCTTCAAAATACTTCATCAGATCTTACGACAGCTTTATACAATATAATTGAATTTTTCTAGCTATACAAATTGGCGACATACATGAAATATATAATTGATTTTCTTAAAGTGCAAAACAAATTCTGGATTACTCTGCTATTGCAGTTTTCTTCAGCGCGTATCCAGGCCAGATATCAGGCTGTGGCCTTGCCAATAGACACTTTTTCAGCGATAACGATGTAGAATATTGATGGAACCCTGTAATATATGATTAGTTCGAAGTATGATAAGCACAAATGTTCTTGTTCTAGCTGTGACGCCTAAGCAATGCAGGTGCCGAACGTTTTTAGTATCGAGTATGGTATGAAGCGACTATGAAGATCAAAACTGTGCCTTGCAAACCCGTTGTCATACCCTGCATCCTGTAATGTGTAAACTGAACCATAATTGGTCGGTTTCTGAGGTTCATAGGGAGCTCGGGCAGTGAAGACACGATCTTCGTTTGCAGTAGGAACTGTTGCGATGTGTCGACGTGCACCACATTCAGTACTCTGCTAATGGAACTGCGCAGAAACAGCAAGCCTCTTATCGAGTCTATCTAATCCGAGGTGATTAGCTAAAAATGGCCGTTGGGGCCGAATGCTAGCTGGATCTAACAATAGAAATAAAGTCTATAGGATACTGCGAGGCGTCCTGACGTCGTACACTGTCCCATCGTTTAGTTGATTGTAAAATTTTTACTGTTATCGCTGGCAGCGAAATCGTAAAATGAAATGTTTGAAACTACGTTATGTTTCTCACTTTCTATAGATGCTATAACAAGAACAATCGTAATCAAACGGTGACGCATACTGATTATGCGGAGCAAGCTTTGCCAACATTTTAAGAGGTGCGCTTGGCCATCGGCGTCTGCCGTGCGCTCGGAGACACTTTTCAGTACTTTCATGATAGATCCATGTTACTTTTCATTGACACATGCTTTTTTTAATCACCTTATTGCCTTACCATAACCCTGGCAAGCGTTGACTGCGACAAGCATGCGATCCTTGTTTCCAGTGACGTTTAAACTATGACAACTATTATGAAATGTTCCGATGTATGCAAGTTGATCCTCAAAGGATTGGTTCATTGTGCTGGTAGGCTCCACTTGAGCGTGGCAGTACGCAGTGTGGATAATTACGGCGTAAATGTCGGACATCGGCCCGTTCGTACTCTGATCCGCGCCGCAGAATCAGCGGTCACCTAGCAAACCTCCACTGAGGTCGCGTGAATCTCAACGTAGGAAGCGTATGCGTGTCGTAAACACGACGAACGGTAATTTCAACATGATTTTGTCCTGAAGCATCAACGTCTAGAAATTTCAGCACATTTCGGCAGTGGGCTAACCCGTGGCGGATATAGTCTTAACTATCTGTGTTTCGAGTTTTACGCCCAGTATCGCCGTTCGGCATGCCATCAAACGGCTAGCCCCAGGCACGCAACGAAGTGTGTCTACACCCAAAGTCGAACCTCGGCCACAACGTCTTTCTAAGATTAGCAGGCGAACACATTCACCGGAACCACCCTCACTATCTATTCGCATTTACTTAAGCACAGTTCGCCCGTGCTCAATTCTGGTCGATGCCATCCATATTTAATCTCGATGTAGATCGCTGGTTCAAACCTCGATAGTGTATTATGCTACGCGGTCGGTGTACATTTCAACACCTACATGTAAATAAACCGGGCAAGATGTAATCGTATAAATCCATAATCTCACGTCCTATTAGCTTTTCAGTACATCCGCTACAAGGCTACAGAGAAATAAAAGTCTCCATGGGCAAGACCGCTCGAGTGGATGTGCAAATACTCCAATTTCGTTTTTATTGATACAATATAGACAACTCCACTGCGGAGTGCCAAAGGTCGCGGTGCACCACCGAGTGCAGACTCCACGGCCTGCGCCCCTCTGGTCGAAGCACCCACCCAGCCTATGAAACTACCATTTCCTCTATATCATATGGGTAAGACCACTCACATTTAACACTTTCGAGCCTGTGCCAAAGTCGTCGCTTCGCTACGTGAGCTCAAGAAAGCAAGAGTCTATGGCTCGCCTGTCTCCGCCGATAAGTATCGGGTTAGTGTTAGAAATTTCTAAGATGCTCAGAAGCTCCTGATGCGATAATAGGGGTAGCAACAACTAACAGCTGTATACCTATTTTTTTTCTCTCTATTACCTTCATTATTCGGACGTCTCGTTGCTTAAAAAAGGAGCCCAGTCGGTCAGGGCGCGTGGCCTTGATTGAAGCCCAAGAAAATCATAGAAGAATCAAACATTTCCACTGCCGTTCCTAGCGCTGATGCCGATTTGGTTGAGGAAGGCATAACCGCTAATCGGATGCTGCCGAATCACGTCAAACGTTATCGGCAGGAAGTTCGCGAGAGCGAACGGAACGTTTGCGTAGCAAAAGAAACATTGCAGTAATCGTAGCAGAGGCGTTAGCACTGCCAAGGAAAACCGAGCGGCCGTAGCCAGAAATGGCATACGAAAGAGGTAACCCATCGCAACAAGGGACACAGATGTCAGGAATGAACCTTTTCATACAGAAGCATTCGGTAATTGGTGTCCGCAATGACACACACAGTTAGCGCGTTGCGATTATGTTATATTTTCGAAACGAAATCATCTGAATCCGTGTGTATATATAGAGCTATACTGGAGTGGCACGCGTATGGTACGCAGCAGACAACGATGAGTAAATACTCTTTTACCAGCAAATATTGCTTTTGTTTGGACTTTCTTTTGTTTATGTAATTTCATATGATAATAATACTCCGCATAGGACAAGTGATCCGAGGTCAAGCAGCGATAAAAAAGATCATCTGAAGAAGCCTCGAAATTCGTACGTTGTCCATTACATTGGCTATGAAGTCACAGAAGCGCCCCTATAATTTGTTCGAGTTACGCAATACGACCAGGTGTCCCAGTGAACGTATCGCTGGCTTCTAATCCATCCCTATTGCCGTCGGCCACAATCTCACGGATAGCTCTCCAAAAGCCGGGGTCGGCATATACAGCTCGTTACTAGAAGATCGTTACTTGTTGGAGAAATCTACGATTACGTACAGATACGTTCCCTCGTACGGCCACTAAGCGGTTCCTGTCGATTCGAGCTTATCCCGGCGATATAAACGTGTCTGCCGTATGTGTAAGATTCTGTTTGGATTACAACACTTTTCATGTCCGCCAAATAGATTTGCCGAGAACGACGATCACACTGCATGGAAATAGCAAATGCATTGATGACGGGTAAATGATACAGGCTTCTGACCAACAATATACAGATTAAGTGGGAAGCTTTCTGACTGAGTTTTTAGTATATGTACGGCGA